GAGAGACTATCAATTCATCAGGCTTCTTATGTCCATATGGTGTGGGTGGTTTGTTTATTTGTAGGTTTTAAATACAGAAAAGCTGAAACAACATCAATGGGTTTAATAAGCTGTGGCTTCTCTATAGGATGGAGGTAAAGACACAATTAAATCTCCATGAAGTTCTATCCACAAGCTGAAGCTTCCAGTGGGGTGAAAAGGATGTGAAGTATGTTTACAAAATATCAGATTGCATTTCATTCACGGAAAGCCTGGGACCACTGCATGGAGTAAAGCCAAATTGCAGCATTTGAGCCATAGGTAGCTTCTGAGTAGTTCAAATTCTAGGACTACATTACATCACCAAGTCTGTGCTGATACAAAGGCTGCTAGGAAGTAAAACAGGGGCTCACAGCCCTTTTGCATACTACAGATAATGGCCAAGTCATCTTGGACACAACTGCACGTCCACTTCAGGTATCCTCTCTGAATTGTGAACCACTCCATCCAAGCTACATGGTTTGTATCTTGTGTCTCTCAACTCAATGATGATGAAGAATACAGCCTATAGGGTTCAAATGTTTGTGCTGAGGCTGTCTTTCCTTTGATCTTAATAGGAACTTGGATTTTCTCTCTTTCTTTCATTGAATCTGATACTGCAATTATGAAGACCTTTATTCATCACAAAATACTCCCTTAAAACGGGAGAAAAAGGTATAATATAAAGTAAAAGGGAAACACAAGACTCAAAATTTCCAAGATAACATTCAACAAAGTTAGGAAAAGATTCTAGGAAGGCAGGTGGGTCCCTTTATTGCACAGATGGAGAATTCAGTGATTGTCATCCACTTGTAAATCACGAGTGCACAATAGATCTCGCTATGGGACTGAAATGTTCATGAGATTGATGGTTGGGTGTTCCGATCGAAAGTATCTAATGGGCAATAACTTGAGGGACATGGCAGAAATTAAATGGGATCTTTCACCTATTTTGACTTTGGGTCTGGGATTTGTTGCAGGTTTTTTTTGAAGCTCATAGTAGAAGTTTCCATCACAATGGATGTTCATAACAGTGCTCACCACTGCCCAAGTCTACCAAAAAAAAAAAAAAAGGCAAGAAAAGAGAGACATCTTTGTTGCACTGACACTTCAGTATCTCTGATTTAAGAATTTCTTCACACAAAACTAGGTAGAGGTAGGACACTATAGACAATATAAGGCAACTAGTGTGTAAGTTATTGTGTATAGTAATATAATGCTATATGAAAGTGCTACAGTTTCTTAACAGTTGAATAGGCACCGCTGAAGCAAAGAATGCAATTATGAAAGTTATCACTCTTGTATGCCAGAATACACAATGTGTACCATTCACTACAGTTCAGATACACAGTTCTATTATTATTACTAATACCATCTTTCTATCCTATTCTGACTCTAGAACTATTCCATTGCATTCAATTCCAAATATTTATTCTTTAAGAAGGCATTGGTATTTTTAAAGGAAGAAATGTATATTTTTTTAAGATATGAAATTTTATTTGAAAATACTGTACATTTTACTTCTAATTGTTTTACAGTTCAAATTGTAAGGTGTGTTCTTTTTTGTTCAAGAATTTTAAAAGCAACTAATTTAAATATGCAAAATTATCTTGAGTTGTTCATACGTGAACTTAAAAGCCATGCAACACAGGAAAATTAAGTAATTATGCCTCCAAGTTATTTACTGCAATTAAGCTCATTTATCATATGCAAATTAGTGCAAACTGGTCTCATTAGTTACTAAATTACTCAATATGAGCTGAACAATGTAGCACTCCAGTTTGTAATGAAAAATCCCTGTAGAGGCAAGCAGTATCAATTAAGCTAATTTGCATATGCAAATATATTCACTAACTTTCCCTTTTCTCTATATTTAGTTCTACATTTCCTGATCATTCCTGATTACATGAAGAATATGGGGTTACTGACCCTTTTCCACACCTTCTCAATAGCAATGAAGTTACAGAAAAAATCCAGGGGCCCTGAAAAAATGCTAATCTTCTTCCTAATTTTTACCACCAGTTTCAGTCAAATTTTTGAATACCAGATAACAGAAGTAATATTTTTTACTGGATTTACTTAATAAACAAACATAAAATACATTTACAGAAATGTAAGACTCAAGATGTTTTTACTGAAGTCTATTCTCATTATAAACCAATTTTCAAAAGAAGAATGTAGAAGATAACAAAGCACATAATTTGGTAAATCAAAAATCTTGTCTAAAATTAATCAATGTATTGCCATCATCAATTTTTCCCCTCTGTCACAAGCATTTCTACTGTTCATCATTCAGGTGATTTTACCTGAAAACATTCAAAGGGCTTTTTGTCCTGATGTGAAGATGCTGATATAACAGCATCTGGGCATTCATACTTTGTGGTATCTTTTTTTCCACAAGCACAGAGCGGGTAGTGTCTTTGGCTTCAAACTTGCTGTGGGAATTTCTTCACCATGATATACAACAATTGGCTGTGGCTTGGAAAGTTTTTTGTATGGCCAACTGACACTACTTGCTTGTAGAATCAAGATGTAAAATATCACAAGAGGCACTTTCATTTCTGTTTTACAACATCACTATAAATAAACTATATCCACTTTTTAAAACCATACTGTATTATGCTTCTCATGTGTCTGTCAATAAATTTTGAAGTATCAAAATATTACAAGGATTAGAGAGGCTCCTTAATTTCTGAGTTTACACTTCACCCAGTCTTCAAAATATTAATAGCAAAAGGCATTAAACAAACTAACTATTAATTCAACTTCCTCAGCAGACTCTGAAATCAAACTCAGGTATTCCCAAGGTATAATCAAGGTTGTTTACTTCACTTACAAACAATACTTTTCACAATACTGCTTTGAAAATCATTTCTGGGAGTAGCAGACTAAAAGAGAACTTGTTAGAACTGTATTCCACTGCAGAATCTGTCTGATTGTTGTTTTAAAATCATTTGATCTTCTGGAGATTACCTTTCTACCTATAAGACTACAATGCAGTACTTTGAAGTTCATTCAGATCTGTTAAAAGTGGTGCATTTGAATGCACAACCTAGACTTTCCTTCCAAGCGTTGATTACTCTACTAAAATAAGACAAGATTTTAACATATGATGATAAACTTGCCACCATTATTAATTCATTTTGTCCTTTATTCATCATCAACAGTCTATTTTGTTTTAAATGTCAGAGTGGAACTTTCTATTATCAATTGAGAGATTAATGGGAGTAATTTGGTAAAAGCACCACCCTCTCTGAAAAGGCCACACCTCAACAGATATTCAATATGAAGCTGATGGTATTTTTGACTGAAAATCCTGTTACAGGTGCAAATGTAGTACAGAATTTTTTTTTCCACTAGTACTGCGATAACGTTATATCCTGAAAACACCTTAATTTATCATATGTAAGTACAAAAAATAACATCCAAAAAGGGAATCTAGATTAAACAAGTAACAAAATCACTAATTGTTTTAATATGCAGTAAGTGAAAAATTCAAATGTCAAGTAGTTTTCAAAGTGGCCATGCTGGTTTTTTTCATTTTAATTCATAAAGGGTCATACCTAATACCTAAGGAGTGTATATAAATCAATCTCAATAAGGTTTTATATAGATATTTGTTATAATTCATATTGTAAAAAACATACACCTCTAGGATATATAGTACGTTTACATACTCAAAACGCAACACTGACAAATTACGTAAACTGAAACATCACAAAACTGCTATTTCTTTATTTTTTCTACACTTATGAGACAGCATAGCAGCATTTGTATCTAATATGCAAACACAGTACTTTAGATATTGGTGCAGATACCTTTGATACAGTAACTGTAACACAAGTATTTGCTTACAGGATCAAAAACTTGACCTAGATCTCTGCTAAGGGTATACAACTAAGTAAATCACTTCATTCATTATTTTTGTTCCAAAGAGAAATTCATTCTACTAGTTAATTTCATGTTTTCATGTTTTCCTAAAATTATCTTTGTTGCTATTCTGCATTTAGTTACTTTATAAAGATGTGAAAAATCTGACATTATCTACAGTGCTTTTGAATGCCACAGCTGAGTTAGTACAGAGAGATAGCTCTCAATCATTTCAAATTAAGTGGAATATTTCTCATGATAATATCCTAATTTACCTCTTTCGTACCTCTCAAAAGATAATACACCAAGCAATATATTTGCATTGAGAATCTGTGTACATTGCTAAATAAGAGCAGTTATTCAGTGCCACACTTAGAAGAGACTAGGTGGTTTTCAATTCAGTAGTGCTGGGGTTTTGCCTTGCTGACAAAACACATCACATTTTGTTCTTAACTGCTTCTGCTCCGTGTATGATTACCTCAACCTAAAAAAGGTTGTAGCAACCCTGACAAAACAAAGCATGTATAAGAATGTTTCCATCAGGTCATTGTTTTTCAGTTTAATGTTCCTGGAATATAATGACTTGTACCGTGTGACTAAACTCTTTGACAAATATGAGATTAGTTTTCATTTCATGGCTAAGGAGACTGAAGAGGCATGCTGTTGTTCATTTTTTTTTTCTTTGCAGATCATTGCAAATTTGTGGTATACGATTGTGGCAACTAGAATATCAGAGAGGAAAGCAGTGCTCATAAACCAAAGTGGGGGGAAAAAGCCCTAAACCTATACATGACACATAAGGCAAATCAAATCACCAACACAAAATACTGTCTTGTGCATATATACATACAAATAAGTAAAGGCATTCTGCAAGCAAACATCTACTGCATAGTTCTAAACAACAAAATATTGTGATTCAGCTAAATAATACTTGCCCTCTCTCTCATTAACATTCTCCCAATCATGGGCTTTTTAATAAGAAGGAAATACGAGTTTTAAAAGAAATTTAAAATCTCACTAGTGTAAGTGCTGACAACAATACTATTCAAATTACTGGCAGAAATGTGACTAGGTAGTTATTTTGATTTTTCTTGGAAAAGCCATTTTTTTACCTGTAAAATATGACTTCCCAAATGTGATTCAAATACTTCAATGGCAAGGGCACTGGGACTTCTCCTGCGCTGGGCACCTATAACTGAATAAAAAACAGTTATGTTGCAAGGTCTGCACATTTATTTCTAATGCACCCCTGATCATATCATTTGACATTAACTATTTGAAAACGTTTTGCATTTTATATACCAATGTTAATTTCAAATTTGCTTTACATATAGTAAAAAAAAAAAAAAATTGAAGGATAAAAGAATCTTTTTTTAAAAAAAATATCTACTTAAATGTCCAAGAACTCTGGAAATGAATCATTTATTCAAAAATATCCCAAGTTCCTGTAGAAGTATTTTTTTGTACATGGTGATGACAGCATGCAGAATTTAGTGAAAAACACTATTGAAAAATAGGCTACACAATATAAATGTTTTGAAATGTGAGGATTAGAACTAAATATCAGGAAGGAATGAGGAAGATACGAGATATTTATCTGAACATGTTATTTACCTTATTTGAAACTGAAATGAAGTAAACACAACATTAAAAAGTGAACACTTGTAAACACATCTGAGATAGCAAAGATATTGCTAAGCATAGAGAAGTATTGTAGTATCCCAGATATCCATGTGAGTTGCTGGAATAGGCAAGCGAAACTTCAGCTTCTACGTTTAAATTATATAGTTTAAAAGTACAAAGTGAGTAATAGGCGGTTATATTTCAAAGGCAGTAGTGACTACAAGAAGGGCTGAGAAATCCTAAAACTAGTATTTCCTTAAACTCTCTATGCCAGGAGCACAAAGCCAGCAACTGAATCTCAGCATAACCAAATGTAGGCATATACTGCAAGCTGCGGTTTCTTCTTAGGTCTAGGCTGTCTTTTCCACATGACCAGAGAAAGCTAGAGCACGGAGGAGAGGGCATAGGGCTGCAGGAACCCTCTCTTCCTTTTCTGTCTTAGTGCCAAAGCCAGGCATATCGATAACAGAGAGAAGAGGTGGAGTTCATTCTGCACCCATCCAAAGTGTGTACAAAAACATTTACATCCAAAGACCCTGATGGTCTAACGCCTCTGGAACCATCACAGCACAATCTTTACATATTGCTCTCTTTACAACACATGATAAGAAAAACGAAATACCAAGGATTCGCTAAAACAAGGATAATAGATGACTGCCATTACTGAACAGGCTAATTTAACACCAATGAAAACAAAATACAGAGTAATAATTTCTTAGTCTTCTATCATACTGGCTGCCAAACATGGTATCAGTAAGAAAAGATAAATGTCAAGTAATGATAGTCATATTGACCTAAAAATGTAGTATCATTCCTTATTGATGCTTCATGTAATTTCCTTGCAGGAAATTCTAGGATATTTATACTGGGCAAACAGGTGGCTTCATTGCTAATAGATTCAAGTAATAGCTCATAATTACAAATGGTGACTGCTGTAGAGCCAGTATTTTCTAAGTCCTCTTTCCTCCAAAGGTATTCAAGGACATAGATGCTAACAACTTAAGAGAAAAGTTGTCTTCGAGAATTCTGGTTTACACTGAAACTGAAATTGGTAATAGATCAACTGCTATACTTGTTTGTTTTTCTTTGTTTTTTTTTTTCCATTTCAGCTAGCATAGTGACTGACCAGACATGTCAGCATAATATTATTCTTTTGCAAGTTTTAGGTACTTAGTCTTATATTTTTCTATATCAGCCTTCTGATTCTAAATAATTTTGCTTCTCTTTGCACTGTCTCATCTTTTCTATAGCTGTAGTGATGCCTACTATAAGCAACAATGCTTATTTCATGAAAAAAAATAAGAGCACATTAAATTTTCTAGCAACTTAGACTCCCTTAACTTTCCTTTTTGTAGACAGACTTAAAGATGTTCCTTCTTTTGTCCTTACTCTGCCTCCAGATAGTTATCAAACATTTGCTTAAACTGGAGTCATACCTCTATTTCTGAGAGAAACTTTACCTTTAGTTGTAGGACTAAACAAAATATATAGTACTGTAAAGATTATCAGTATTCCCATTGTGATTGCTATCAGTATATTAGCAGTAATGCTTTGTATGGTCATTTCATTTATAATCCACCAGAAACAAAAAGGAAATTCACAATTTTGGCCTGCTAGGCATTGCTTTGTTTGTTTTTCTTTGTGAGCATTGCAAAAGCAGAAAAACCCTGAAAACACACAAAATCTTCCTGAAATCACACAAAATCTTCCTGAAATCCTTTAGGTCCTTTCATTCTTTCATCTAGACTGTTAAATTTTCCACACATTGTCTGAACACATGACCATTTGCCTTCCGATTAATTTTCTGTTTTGTGTCCACAACCCTTCCTTTACAATCCCCTAGCATTTTAAAGTGTATCCATTATATATTGAATTCAGTTCTATGATGTTATTTGCAGGTTTTTTATCATGTGAGTATTGTAACTTGAACAATGTGCAACACATTTTAAAACAGTATCTTTAACTTTAAATGGTATTTACAAGTAAGTCATCAGTTATTCATTCTTGGGACACTCTCAGTTCTATAGCTCAAATGAAAACACTTCAAGGTCAGTGAGTTAACTACAAAACATGAGAGGGCCAGATTTGAGCTTTAAAACTTGTCAATTAAATCCTCTATTGATGCCTGCATCCTAGTGGCTGGTATACATGTAGACAAATATCTTGTAGTATTTTCATGCCGTTCAGTTCATTGACATTTTTATAGCAGTAGAACTCTTGGATTTATGTGCCTTGCACTTACTCAGGTGCTGTGGGGTTGTAATGACAGCTCCTAATTTTACAACCATTATAAATATGTTACACGCCAAACCATTACACTTTTGGTAGCCATACTGCAATCCTTTTTTGGGTAACTGAATAGATGTTAAATAGGCATTTTCTGAATTTCATTCACTTCCTTAACTATCATTCTTCCCATTTTGAGGAATGAGACAAGAATGTTGAGATAAATACAGAAAAAAGGAAACAAACTTATTTTATCTGATCTTCTGACTTCATTGCCTCATTATTTTACTTACTTGAGCTTTCAAGATTTCTTGATATCTGTCTGCAACAGAAGAAACATACTATTTTGGGTATACAAATGTATATCACACTGATACCTTTCAAAAACATGGTAATCTCACAGTCCAGTCTCAGTACAAAGCCTCTTATTTGTACTGAATGGATTGCTGGCATGACAATAGATGAAAGGAAGACATAGACTGACGGTTGGATTAAAAAACAGGCCATGATGTTATTTTATTCTAAAATTTCAAAACATAAACTATAAATTCTGAACTGGCTTCCACCACACAAGCCACAGCCAGTCACCTCTAAATCTTTCACCCTGTGGATGGAACCGTCAGTAACCACAGCGCAGCTGCTCACAGAACTCTTGGGAAGCAAGGGATTTAGGATTTATATCACAACATCTATAAATCAAAGTAACTCAACAACCTTCACAGACCTAAAGACGTGGATGCACATCTTTTTGAAAAATGTGGATTCCGTTTTAAATGCAGACTCTTTACAGAAACAAAATACTGCATGCATGAAATAAATTTCTTCTTTTGCGTAACAGGAAGTAGGGGAAATTAGGATGTGGAGAGGGCTGAGGCATGTGTACCAAGCTGCAACAGGAGTCACAAAGGAAACAAGTTCCAAATCCAGGTTAACTAATTCTTCCAAGCTTCTCCTGTATTAGTGGTATGAACAAACATCTTAAATAGGCGTTTTCACAAGTGGTCATATTTTGTACTGTCTACATTTAATTGACAAAGTTTAAGGTTTGAATGTACAATTGTTGTGGTTAATGAAAAAGTTGATTGAATCAATATTTGTATTAAATACTGACTGTTAATAGTGACAAGAAAATAGAAAGATTGTTTTCACACATGCACTTTGTAATGCTGGTGCAGAGGAATCTTCTACTAAAATCTTCTACTTTCCATGGCATTGGATCATGACTTTTACTATCCAGACAGACAAGTATGTTCCTGGCATAGGATTATTCCATAACAAGCTATTAACAAGGAAAAGATTCTAATTGCTCACTAATTCCTCTTTAAATTTCCTCCCTCAACGACTAATCTGGCTATGCATGAGGTGAAGGAAGAACCACATCCCTTTCAGTGTGTCTTGGGGGCAGTCTAAGCATGCTTAATGCAATCTCAAGAGCATTCGCAATTGTGCTAGGAAGAGTGGGAAACTATGGAAAAGAAAAACGCAGACTGCCTAACAAAGATTTCCATGCACCCTGAAGAGAGAGGATTTCCTCTTAAACTAACTTCTAAACTATTGGAGCACAGAATGACTGAAGACTGATGTTCAGTGTGACTTTCTACTAGTGGAGACAGAGTTCTAGTTAAGCAGAAGCAGTATTCCTTGATCACTAGGGGTGAAAGTACATATCACCTGCACAATAACCAGTTCCCCTAAAATACTTTTGTGAGACTTCACATGCCACCTTTCAACATAAATTGGTTTTGTGGAAAGTTTGGTAAAATTCAGACCAAGAGGTTTTTTAATTCTGTTGCTTTGACAATAGCTTTAAAACTAGTTTTAAAAAACTATACTGAACTTTTTAATTAATTCCCCGTAACTATTATTTATTTATAAAGGCTTTTTCTCAATTAGCCTCAAAATCCTTACTTTTGTATTTCATTTTCTTGACTTTTCTGAGCAGCACCTTTCTGTATGCTTAGAAGCAGAGGTGGACATCGGGCCATCCACTACATCCTTTTAGATAACCTGCTGTCTGAATAATTATAAAAAAACAGAGACCATGTTTCATGTTTTTGATCTTGAAGAGCTCTAATTATGACTGCCAGGAAAGTCAGACTTTAATTAGGAAAGTCAGAGCAGATCTACATAAATACAAAAGTTTATAAACACCCACCAAAAAGAACACAATCCATTTTATTCACAAAATATGTAACCCTATCAGGCTAATTGCATAGAAGCCTCACATAAGGTTGCCTAATATTTCTCCCTGTAGGTATCAACAAAATGCATGATCATTTCAAATGAGACAGCATAAGAAGTAGGGTTGTCTGAATTGTCTCAGATGACTGTATGCACAAAGCAGTT